CCGAGGCCCCACTCCTGCTCTTTAAAGGGACACTCACCTCACCTCCTCCCCTGACCTTGGTTGGCAATCCTCCTCTGCACTTGCTGCCATGGCTGCAGCGGGGCCTGCGCCCAGGCCTCAATGTGCCAGTGCATTTGTGGGGCTTGGAAGGTGACCGCCAGGCGTGTCTGCAGCCCCGTGGACCCCCACAGGCGGCCGTGGCCGGGCCTCCTGGGTATTCCTGCTCTAGCAGCGTCTGGGCGTCATGTTAACTCGGACCTCAGTCCGAGTGTAGGTGTGCCCGTCCTCAGAATGCCTGGCATCCCCTCCCTGAGCCCGTAGTCCTCAGGTTCATGGCCGACGGTCTCTTGGGGAAGGGTCGGAAGAGCTTCAGCGCACACGCTTGTCACGCTGTTACCGGGCCTTTCCCTTTGGGGCCTGGTTCCCTTTTCCGTCTGTGGATTCCAGATTTGAAAACTGACTCGGATTCACAACTGAGCGAGGGGTCAAGACATTTTATTGGGGCACCTGCCTTCGGACTCTTGCTCACAAATTCTCGCTCTTGACTAGACGCGGTAAGAAGCAGTACCCCATTGGCTTCCCACCTACTTTGCCCCTGGAACGCCACACGCTGCTGCCATCTCTATGCCTCCAGGGACCAGGCCATGCTGTCACTGAACTGTCAGTCACTGGGAAGACGATGACCCGGCCCCAGGCAGTGGGGAGCCGCCCTGCTCTGCCTTCAGGGGCCACGTGCCACCGCATGGGGGAGCCAGTTCTGTGCCCCTGCCGCCCACGCTGCCTACGGGGGGCCCTGGCGGGGGAGCCCAGGAGGGCGGGGTAAGCTTCCCACAAGCCCCTGCGGCCATGGAGGGTACTGGGGGCTTCCCATGGAGCCTGATCATCAGGCGGCTCTCCCGACGCACATAACGCGTGTGATGCAGCAATTCCCGCCCCGAGCCTTCCACCCGCTTCTCAGCGTCTGTCCCAGGAGCTGGCATTGCAGCCCAGGCAGCGAGGCCTCACTCTCCTCAGGCTCCTGAGTGCTGGCAGGTAAAGGCTGTTCCCCAAGGCTCAGCAGGCCCCCTGTTGTGTGTGGCCGCCTCCTCGCTTGAGCGCCTCATAGCAGCCCAGCCCAGGGGGCCCTCCCTCCCCGCCCCTGCCAGTAGGTAAGGGCCCCCCTGCCCAGGCCCAGTGTGTGTGGGCTGGGAGGCCAGCAGCTCTGAGGGTGTAGCCTCTCCTTTCCTCCAGGCTCAACTGCCCCTGGCCTGGGCGGTGCTGGGACTCTCCCTGATCTCAAGCCCCCCATCTGCCACCCTGTCCCACCACCACACGCTGTCCCACCACCACACGCTGTCCCACCACCACGCCCAGTTGCGTCAGCGTTGAGGTCGAGCCTGGAAGAACTCACAACCACACTGCTCACTGCATTGTTTCAACTGAGCTCAAAACTCTCTCACAGGAAAGGTGTAAGAAACTTAATAAAAACAAAACCAATCAGCACATAAGGCCCATTCTACATGTTTTTAGTTATTTTATTTTTTTAATATACTTTTATTTGCTTTCCGAGAGGAAAGAAGAGGGAGAGAAAGATGAGAGAGAATCATTGATCAGCTGCCTCCTGCACGCTCCCTCCTGGGGATCGAGCCTGCAACCTGGGCATGTGCCCTGATAGGGCATTGCCCATGCCCTCCTTGTTCCCAGGTAGACAGACGCTCAGCCACTGAGCCGGCCAGCCGGGCTGGTTTTTAGGGAATCACATGTTTGTGTTTGTTTCGTTTCCGGTGTCTCCTGCCCAAGCAGCAGCGCAGGCCCATTGGGTTAGGGCTCCTGTGGCCTCACCCACCTTCGGTCTGAATCTTGTCAGAAACCTTTGCTCACGTCACAGCCTCACAGAATAAGCCTCCTGCCCACATGTCATAAAAAAGATGTTTGTCCAGACTCACAGATATAGACAACACCTGCGGTCCCCTGGAGGGCTGGGGAGGACGAAGGCAGCAGGGGCGCAAACTGCAGTCACAGAAGCAGCCTCGGGAGGTGACGCAGCAGGGATGGAGTCACTCCCATCGTGCTCACAGCCGTGTGTGGAGCCGGGGCACAAGGCTTATCCGGTTGCATGTGTAATCACTGCTCTCCACCTGGAACTAACATGACCCTGCGTGCCAACTGTACTGAAGTAAATGTCTAAAATAATCTAAAACATGTAAGATATAAAAAACGGCAAAAAAAGAGAGTTTGTCATTTCTCCATCTTTAACCGAGTGAACACTTGAAATACTCACTGACCAGCTTCCCAGTCCACCCGGCCCATCGGCCCCGCACCTGGCACTGCCCGCGGGTGCTCCAGGTGGTTCTCAGCCAGGCCTCCACCTCGGGCACCTGCCTATGCCCGGGTGGCATTCGTCGCAGTAGGAGTCCTGCCTCGAGAAAGGTGACGCATTTAATGTGGGTCGAAAGCCTGAGAGGCAGACGGCCCTGAGCACGTGCAGAAAGAAGGCACCGCGTGGGGATGCCGCCAGCCGTTGAAAGCAGAGCGGCTCTTCCGCTTCCTGCCCCGTGGGCCGGCCCAGGACGAACCCACTGACGACGGGAGAGGCTCTCCAGGCGAGTCCAGGGTTGGCTTTATTTGGATGAGGCGGCAAAAATCAGATTTTCTGTCACATAAATATGGGCTTGGGGAGGAAAAGAACATTTGATGTCTTCAGGTAAATATATGTGGAGGATTCATGATACCAGAGTAAGCTTAGTGTGCAAAACGTACCGAATTACCATGGGTTTTTAGAAAGACATCAGATAATTTATACTAAAAAATGGTATAAAAAATTATACCAAATACTCTTGTCCATTGTAGGACAACTTGCTCGAAACTGAAATTATATGATTTTGTATGGTTTTGTCTGGTCAGGGACAAATCTGGAGTCATTTAAAATTTCCCATGATTGACATACAGTTTTTTTCTGCTACATTGAAATGCTTTCGTTTTAAACAAATCTCACTCTAAATGTTTTGAATAGTAACCTTAGTTTATGTCTTAGCCAACTTTTCTCATTCTTCATTTATCTTAACAAGTTTTTCCCTTGTTTACAAGACCTTGTAAATTCTTTACTTACTGCACATGTTCCCATCTCCTCCCAGGGCCCTCCCTGGGCCCCGAGGTTCCGGGGCCCGGCCTGGCTTCCTGGGGAAGAGCAGCCCCCGGGTCACCTCCCTCCATTCGCTAGAAAGGACCCTGGGCTCCCTCAGGGCGGGCTGGAGAGGAGAGGGGAGAAGGAAGCCCAGGCGAGCTGAGAAGGCTCCGTGACGGCTGCGTGCACACCTGTGCACACACAGTGCAGCCTGCCTGTGGCCACGCTCAAGCCACAGGACTGAACAGACTGAGGAGAAACCAGCTCCATCTGAATGTGGGAGCCCGCTTTGTCTCGTCTCAGTCCCATGCTGCTGAATGCTAATCCTGTAACGTTATCCAGTTGCCTTTTTTTGGTACAAAGGTAGAAGGGGGGTTTCTTTTGTGTTTTCAGTGCAAAGCGATTCCGATCAGAAAGGCTTGGGGTTTCAGCTCCGAGTACCTGACATTTCCATCTGAATCTCCTTTTTCGAGGGCTGGGGGAGGTCTGGTTTCTCAGGAAAGGAACCTTTCTCCAGGATCCTGAAACTGATCTTTAGATGTACTTTTCCTTAATCAATAGAAAGAACTTGATTGCAACTCAACACTCGCCTGCCTTGAGTGCAGGGTAACTGAATTTTTGGTTTTAAGAGTAGGCGATTCAGACATCATTTCAGGAATCAGCAATAATTGGCAGCAGGAGGGGGAGAACTGACATGGATTCCTGTTTTGCCTGAGTTTTCCTGGTTTACCAAGATTTGGCTTAATATTCCTGACTCGGTTCCTCCAGCCTCTACAGAACAGGTTAGTGACATGTTCCGTAAATGCAGATGCTTGAGTGAGTTCTCCTATGGCTCGAGGGCTCGGGGTCCGGGCACCGCATCCCCTGCCAAGGCTGGGGTCTCGGCAGGTCTCACGCCGCTGCCAGCAGGGCTGTGCCTTGCCACGCACTGCAGGTTTCCGAGTGTGCCTGACCCTGGAGATTTACAAAACGCCCCCAGGGCAGGGCAGGGTCCTGCTGGTCCGTGGCTGTTGGCTGAGGAGCTGGGGGAACCTCGAGGAGTAAGAGGAGGTGTGCACTGAAGGGCGGCCGAGCAGCCTGCGGTCTCGCTGCCCTGGGTCGGGGCAGGTGCGTGCGCCTTGGAGCTGCCTCTCAGCCTGACGGGCGGCCGGACTGTCCGCGCCCCTTGGGGGGCAGCACAGCCTGCTCAACTGCTCCCACTGACATGCAAGCAGGTCCACTTCCGCGAGCTCCTTGGTCACTTTGCTGGACTAGTGACTGGCTTGCGTGTTGAGTCCTGCCTGTTCTTGCTGTTGTTCTGAGGGGCAGCCCTGGCAGGGTCCCCTGCCTGTCACCCTGGACGCGCTCACCCCCGGTGGGAGCAGTGGGCAGTCTGTGCTCCCCCCCCCCGCCTCCGTCAGGGCTTCCGATGGTGGGTGACCTTGCTGTGGAGAAGGGGACGGCGCACTCGGAGCTTCCCCACCTGCAGGGCTGCATTGTTTAATTGACCTTTACCTGAACCTCATCGGAAGCTGCTATGAGAGTCAGAGGAGCTCGGTCTCCGGGGGACCCGGCACGGCCTGCATCCTCGGAGCCCCCACTGCTCGGTGCTCAGGGGCCAGAGTGGCCGGCTTTCCGCTCCTCTGTTGCCCCCGGGGCTTCTGTGTAATCTCCCGGTGATTGCGTGATCTCATCACACGTCCAAGCTGGCTTCATGGGGGAGTCTGATTTGTTCATGGAGCATTGAACTTGGGGGCCCTGCCAGCGTGGAGCCGCAGCCCCACTCAGCTCCGTGATGTTGTCCTGGGAGTTTGTCCTGTGATGTTGCCTCGTGCCCGGGACTCGCCACTGAGCACACCTGGTGTCGCATCGGCTCTGGCCCGCTGGGACTTCCCCTCTTTCTGTTTGACCTTCCAGGATGAATTACTCCTCGTTCCTTCGGATCTGGGTCTCTTTCATCTTCGCGCTGGTACAGCACCGAGGTGAGTCCTGCAGGGTTGTGTACACTCCTGATCCGCGTGCTCTTGAATATATGAAGGGACGCTGTGGTGCAACTATCATTGTCAGGGCTACGTGTACCTACAGATGCAACAGAAAATGTAAATGAAATGTTGTGGTCAAAAGCAAAATACAGTGACGCTGAATAACTTGTTTAGTTATATCCCTAATTTTCTTATTTAACTGTGAACACCATTTGTGTATACACTGGATCGCCCCATGATAATGGGTCTTTAAGAAAATGCAAATTATTTTCATTAAAAGCATATAGGGCAGGTGTGTGTGCTGCCCAGACCTCATGATTGATCCCCATTAAGGCATGGGGACTTCAAAGAATACACTTGTTTTACCCCAAATCATGGAGTTCAATGGCATTGGTGTGGGTGCCCTGGGTCAGTGACCTTCTACGCGGCCAGAAACCTGAGCCGCAGTGAGACACACCTGATCGCCCTCCCTCCGCGACTCCTTCTCCACTCTGCGCGGCGTGGCCGGGGCAGCGAGAATACACGGACATTTCTTTCCGCTGTTTCGGATTTTAGGAAAGAAAGGTGGGGAAGTCTACATGGATTTGAAACGCTTATCGCTAAAATTCTAAAACATCGTTCTTTGTATTGTTTGTTTGTCTGGTTCACCGGCACATGATCACAAATCTGACATTTTCTGAGGGCTGGGCAAATTCAAACAGTGTAGCATGCAACTCCCCATGAGCGCCCCCACTGACTCTCATCTCCTACCCCCTGCTCTAAGCAAGTACATTTTATTTGGTAAAAAAAAAAAAAAAAAAAAAACCACCAACGTCCAGGAGCAGAGTGATGTCTATGAAATCCCCACCTGGAGCGAGCGAGTTCCCTCTCATGAGCTCTGGTGGCAATAAATAGGCCATCTGTTAACAAGTTGTATTTTTTTTATAATATTGATGCCTTCCAAGGTGGAAATTACTGAAGTTAAACCTACTCCCTTTTATTAAGCACCTTTTATTATTCAACAAGTCTTTGTTAAACATATACAATATTACATATCTTTATTATTTGTATTCTTCTTAAAATGGAAAAAGTTTTAACTGTCCATTCTTTCCTGTTCAAAACCATGCATAGTTGGGGTCACTCATGAAGAGAAAACTCTTCCCAGGTTACCCTGGTTGGAGCAGAGAGAGAAGCGAGGGGCCGCCCGGATGGCCACAGTTCTGCCACCTCCTGGGGGTGTGGCTTTTGCGTGTCCTAGGCGGGGTGGCCACGGCTGCCACATGCTGGTTAACCTTCCCGTTAAAGTGATGGCAGGTCAGTGTGAATAGAAGCCTGTTCACACGTGGGCATCTCTTCTAAATAGTTGCTCATGAAGGATAAACCCATGACATGATTTGCTTTATTATTATTAATTTGAGAAAGTTTATCACCTTGCAAGTTTAATAAGTAACTGTGTATAATGCTACAATAGGGATTATAGATTTTTTAAACATTCCTACCTCCTAGGAATTTTGAATGTGGTAATTCTGTGCAAATACAAATGTTCAAGAACCCCTTTTGCCCCCTGGTTGTGACTTTAAGTCAGCAGTTCTCAACCTGTGGGTCGCGACCCCTTTGGGGGTCGAACAACCCTTTCACAGGGGTCGCCTAAGACCATCGGAAAACACATCTATAATTACATATTGTTTTTGTAATTAATCACTATGCTTTAATTATGTTCAATTTGTAACAATGAAATTGGGGGTCACCACAACATGAGGAACTGTATTAAAGGGTGGCGGCATTAGGAAGGTTGAGAACCACTGCTTTAAGTAAAGCACACCAGCAGTGCTCCCGTGATTGAATCAGCTACAGCGCCTCCTACAGGGTGACGTTGGGTGGCTCCCCAGAGACGGGGCTTGGGGAACAATGATACACTAATGGTCCGTAGGCCTAGCGCTCCCTGCTTCCCTCTGATGTTACCCTGGGAAGCAGCTGAGCTCTCCATCCGGGCAGGCCACTGCGGTCCTGCCCCTGGCCTGGAGCATCTGGTCAAGTCCTGTATGTAGACCCTTGGGAAATTGTCTACTTTCGATCACTAAACGGGGCCACACACACACACACACACACACACACACACATGCGCACACACGCGCACACACGCTCACACATACCCACAAACCCACACACCGGTTTGGAGGGGAAACAGGCCAGGCTGCCAGGGAGGTGGTGGCAGCCATGTGAGGGGAGTGTGCTCGCGGCCGATGCTCACCGGGCCAGGCTGATGAGTCAGAGCCCTCAGCCTCCTCTCCACAGAGTCCTCCAGGCCCCAGAGCCTCCCCCCAGAGGATCCCATGCTGCCCTTTGTGGACATGAGCTGGCAGAGAGCCATCTGCCAGGGCTGGACCTCAACCAGGGCCACTTGCAGGCCAGTTTTGCGCACCCTCCTCCCAGTTTGTCCCAGGTCCAGCTGTTTTCTTTCCTCCTGGGACCTGAGCTCTCCTCCTATTGTGCAGCGGAGGGAGGGGACTCCTTTCAGGAAAAGACAGGAGAGTAGCACTTTGGAGACCGAGGGAGCGGCACAGCCATGAGCCACCTTCTCTGCGCCCTGCCCTCTGGCCAAGGGTCAAGCTGCCTAAGCCATTGGGTCCAGGAGGCGGCTCAGGCTCCGAGAGCCCTGGGCAGGGCGGCCGCACAGCTCCCGCCACTGTGTGAACATGGCTCGAGCCACGATGTCTGGAAGCATGGATGGAGCGTGGATGGAGCGTGGATGGAGCGTGGATGGAGCGTGGAGGGAGATTGGATGGAGCGTGGATGGAGCATGGATGGAGCATGGATGGAGCATGGATGGAGCGTGGATGGAGCGTGGATGGAGCATGGGCTGAGTGCTCCTGAGGAGAGGCACTGCTCTCCCCTCCCCAGAGGCCAAAGGCAGTGCGGTGTGAGCGGGGTTTACGGGGATGAAAGGGAGTCTGACTTGCGTCTGGTTTGCAAGACTTCCTGGAGGAAGCTGGGTTCGTGGGTGGGAGGGAAGTGGCTTAGGCAACAGGGCAGGATCTGCCGTCGATCTAACCACCGACTCTCTTGACAGCTCAGCCCAGGGAGCTCATGTACCCATTTTGGCAGAATGACACCAAAACCCCCAAAGTAGACGACGGAAGCTCCCCCGAGATCAAGCTGGCCATCCCCATCTTCTTCTTTGGCGTGCCTTACCGCACCGTCTATGTAAGTGGAGAGGCGGCCCGCTGTGCTCTGCGCCTTCCCCTTTGTTTGTCAGAAGTGAAAACATTTAAACACTTTCCGGGCCTCAGGAAGGAGAGGAGTTGTTGGCAGCCCAGGGGCAGGCTCAGAGATATCATGAACTGGTAGATTTTATGATTAAGGAGCTCGAAGGGGTATTTAATGGCTGATAATCGCAACAGGCAGGACAATACAGCTGCGAGCCATGGACATGACTTCGCTACCCGATAAGATGAAAAGCTACTCGGAGCAGGATCGTTTTCTTTCCCTGAGGGTGTGAAAAGTTTGTGTCTGTTGTTCTCGGGCTTTCTACCAACTGGGAGAGAAGTCAGGGCGCAGAAATGGGGAACCAGCTGTTACATAAATGTCGTTTGCAGAATTGGCCATGCTCATGGTGTCTGAGATAGGCCATAGGGCCCGGGGCAGACACACATGAGGAAATGGCACCGTCTGCTGGCAGAACTCTCCGGGCAACCGTGTGCTCAGGGGGTTGGTGGGTTGGTTGGGTTTGGTCCTAGTGAGGCTGTGGCACATGGAGAAGAAGGTGAAGACAGACCCGTGTCGCCTGAGTGCAGACTGGCTCGTGGTTTGCAGTGAGGTTTTGTAATTTACAAGTTTACAAACACACTGGCGAATCACGAAAAAACCCAGGAGACTGAGTAGGTGGTTGGAAGGTCCTAGAAGTCCTTTAAATGCCTCATCCAGAGAGGAGAGGCTGTGCCCGGAGTGGAGTTAGAGGAGAAAGTACTTGGCTTTCTTTTCCTGACACCCCTCTCTTGTCATATAGTAGAAATCAAGGTCTAATACAGAGAGCTCCTCAGGTTTTTAATTTAACATTTTGCTTCCATGTTCTATCTCTCCTGTGACTCTGGATCTTCTTTTTTGCCCACATTACTCCCTGCCTGGCGGAACACACACACACACACACACACACACACACACACCTGAGTAGCATGAGGTAAATGTAAACAGAGATAGGATCAAAAACATGAAGTGAGACTGATTATGAATAAGAAACGCAGCTAATGACACGGTGAAAGTGGAAGTAAATCACTGAGTTTAAAAGTAAACAAGCCTCCTGGCTGAGCCACGCTGGGGGTTCTGACTCAGTGAACGTGGTTTCCATTCACCTGTCAGGCGGAGGTCTGTGTGGGTTAGGACTCTAGAGTTGTCATGGTTACGGATCCACCATGCAAAGCCTGTCTTACTTTTTAGGTCAATAACAACGGCGTTGTCTCCTTCAACGTGCTGGTGAGCCAGTTCACGCCCGAGTCCTTCCCCTTGACGGACGGGAGGGCCTTCATCGCCCCGTTTTGGGCAGACGTGCACAACGGAATCCGAGGCGAGATCTACTACAGAGAGACCATGGACCCTGCCATCCTGACAAGAGCCACCAAGGACATCAGGAAGCACTTCAAGGACATGGCAGCCTTCTCGGCCACGTGGGTCTTCATTGTGACCTGGGAGGAAGTCACGTTTTACGGAGGGAGCAGCACCACGCCCGTAATAACCCACATTTTCTGTGTTCCGTGCTCTCCCCTGCCACCCGCTTCTTGTCTGTCTCCACCTCCGTGAAGGAGTCTGTTGTCAGAGCCAAGGAGCATCCCTTTCCTTGAGTTCAATGGATGAGTCGTGCCGCCCACTTTCCAGGCCACAGAGGGAGAGGGTAACCTCGCCAGTCCTGGCGGCCGTGGCCCTTCTGAGGCCCTTCTGAGGCTGTGCAGCTCTGTCACTCAGCATCACGAATGTGAGAAGGAGCCGGCCAGGTCCTTGCAGGAGGTGCCACATCTATTTTGCAGGAGAGGGACTGAGGCAGAGACCAGATCCCGCCGCACGGTCAGGGCCCCTGAGGAACCCGAGGTCCCTCTGTTTTGTCTGAGGCACTGCCTCTCTTCATCAGCTAATTCCCCCCCCCTTTTTTGTCCTTTCCCCCTACAAAACCTGGTAGGACAAGGAAATGGGGTGCTGATTTGGGGCACAAATGACCTGACTGATTTTATTATGTTATGACCTTTCTTTTACTGTGCATTCAGATTTGATGCTAATTGGGCGATTAAAGCGTTTCACAGAGTAAAGTTTTAACATCTGCTCTGAGGATGTTAAACAAAAGTCCGATCAGAAAGATGGCACTGGCACTGTCATAGAGACCGTCAGCTCCGCTCCCTCCAGTCAGCAACAGGCACACCTCCCGCAAAGCCCGCGGCTTCAGGCTGACTGGCCGCGGGGAGCTGTGAGGCAGCAGGTGCACCTTCATCTATGGTGTTTCCAGCAGCAAATGCCCTCAGAAATTGGCGCTCTGCTCCCTGAGGGTTGCTTCCATCCCCTCTGCTTTCCTGTTTCCTTGGCAATGAGTCAGCTGTTTGGGGCGGAACAGAAACGATTGAGCTGGAGACAGAGGTGGGCACGTGCGAGCACCTGGGCCTGGGCCCCTTCCAGTGCCAGGAGGCTCTGGGCACAGCAAGGCCCGTGAGCAGCAGGCTCATGCTCGCAGCGTTAGAATGTGAGCCGCCAGGGGGCACTGACCTCAGTGCCTCCGAGGGGAAGGGAGGAACGCCAACCAAATGCTGCCACCGCATTTTCAAACAACTTCCGTTGGCAATAAGAACGGCAAGATCATTAGGTCCTTCCTGGCTTGTCCTTTGAGTAAATGTCTGGACTGTGAAAACTCCTTCAACAGGACGAATGAGGTAACAGCTGAATGTTCTGAGCTCCTTGGAGAAGAAGACAGTACAACCCCCGCGGAGCTGCCGCCATGTCTGTCCCTGCCCTGAAATTGGCCTCCTCTCCATCTCCCTTCACCCCAGGCCCCTTCCTCAGAGGAGCCCGTTCACCGCAGGCCCTGCCCTGGCCTGAGAGGCCTGGGAGAGGCAGAAGGTCTCAGGGGCGCAGTAGGAAAGGAAGAGCAGCAAGGAGCAGGAGGCAGGGCTCAGAGAACCACTTGTTTGATGGAGGGAGAGCTGATGCTTACTGGAGGCTTGCTCTGAGCTCGGCTCTGTGCGAGGCCATTTCTGCATTCATGCAGCCTCGCAGGATGTGCCGCTAAAGGTGAGAGCAGGCCCGGAGAGGCTAGATAACCTGCCAAAGTGGAAGAAGAGAGAGCGAACCTCAGAGGAGGGAGGGCAAGTGCAAACTGAAGTCTCCTAACACTAATCCTGAGCTGTTTTCTCGGCTGCCTCCTCAGGTGTCATTAGAAATCCTCTGGAGTATATGAGGGTTTTTAAGAATTAAAACCTGTTTTACAAAAGCAGGTCTGGAGAAGTCTTCAAACTAATGTGGAGGAGGTGTGCATGTAGAGGCGTGAGAGCGAGCCGCCAGGAGCCCAGGGCAGGGCCTCCGGGTGGTGGGGGGTGGCTGGCTGGTTGAGTGACTTCTGGGATCAGACATGGGCTGCACTTGAGACCTGCTTGGACCACAGATCTGCCCAACTGGGTTTCAGGTGGAGGAATCCGCTTCCTGAAGGGGAAGCCTGGACTGGGGGGCTGAAGCTTTAGTCCTCGTGTGACCTTGCGACCTTGACTTTGTGCCTGGGCCTTGAACCTGACCCTGCTGTGACCTCAGGCGATCTTTAGCGGGCTGCTCGCTCATCTCCTTGCCCCACTTTCCTTTTTGGTTGAGCAGAGCAAAGAATGGAGGCATGTACCTGGGCGACACTATCATCAACGCCATCAGCAGTGTCAGCCCCAGAGCTCGAGGAGAAAGTCCTCATGGACAGAAAGGGCTTTTCTTTGCTCTCACCTTGCCTCCCCCGGGGCCCTGGGGGGGGGCGGTGATTTGGGGCGTCCAGGATCCTCTGCGCCGTCTGATTACCCGGGATAAGGATGCGGGTCCTCTGCATCCGACAGAATGCCAGCAGGATGGTATCCGCAGCAGGGATGCTGGGTCTGAATGGAAAAGGTCAAAGCAGCCTCTCCTTTAATTCTATTTTAATTTAATTTCCTGAAATGTGTGTCGGGGTGGGGTTAGCAAAGGGAAGCAGTAAAGGACAGCATTCGCTACAGCCTGTTCCCAAAAGCTGTTGGCAAGGCTCACTCGAATGTATAGAACATCTCCGTCCTGAAAAGCTCAGCGAAGAGTCTGAGCGGACAGCGTGGTGCCAGGAGTGGCTGGGCTCTGGCTGAGTCCTGTCTTCTGTGGCCGGGCCATCGTCAGATTTCCAGCAACTCATGTCCCTTACCTCTCAGTTTTTAAGCTATAAGATGGGAGTCGCCCAAAATGGCCCGTCTCAGCGCTGGTCTGAGCTACAGATGAGTGCTGAGACTTTTGCAGATACAAAGTGATGCATGAATGCTCAGTTAGGGAGCAGTTTCCCCCACAAAGTGCTCCATGAAAATCACTTTCCGCTGCCCTGTCCGAAAGGGAGGGGCACCCCTCTCCCCAGTGCCCTCTGGGAAGTGAGAGAGCACATGCTCTACCAGCTCTGCCATCGCCTCTCCCCCACACCTGCCACCCCCCCACCTGCCACCCCCCCACCTGCCGCCCTCCCCCCGCCCCCCCCCCCGGCACTCAGCCCTTCCCTGCCTATGCTTCCTGCAGCTTATTCTCCTGCTGCCATCTGCTTGCACATCGGCACAGCTGAGCCGAGCTCGGCGATCTGGGTCTGAGGCGGTCAGAGCCTGGGGAGCTGCCCCAGCCGGCCTCTAGGTGGTTCTCAGGCATCTCTCTGTCCGGCGCACTGTCCCACATGCCTTGCTTTCCCCACTCGAGGCGAGGACACATTCCGAGAGGACGCAGAGCGTGAGCGCCGGGCACAGCCCTGAGCTGCTGGGGGCAGGGAGGGGCAGAGTGCAGGGAGCTGCCACTGGGCAGTGGGAGTCACCGCCCATCTATTCCCACCTGCAGGTGAACACCTTCCAGGCCGTCCTGGTGTCTGATGGCTCTCACACATTCACGCTCTTCAATTACTATGAAATCAACTGGACCACGGGGACAGCAAGCGGCGGGGACCCCCTGACAGGTCTTGGGGGAGTGATGGCACAGGTGGGTGGCCCCTGACTGTCTCAGGAGGTGATGGCACAGCTGGGGAACCCTGACTGTCTCAGGGGGTGATGGCACAGGTGGGGGCCCCTGACTGTCTCAGGGGGTGATGGCACAGGTGGGTGGTCCCTGACTGTCTCAGGGGGTGATGGCACAGGTGGAGGCACTCTGCCATGCGTCCTGGAGGGAGTCCTGCCCAGAGCTCTTAAGGAGGGAAGGATGTCTGGTGGTTGTGGAGACTGGGAGGCTAGTCTTGTCCATCGCTGATACCCTGATCTGGTGCAGCATGAACGAGGCAGGCTGTGTCGGGAGAAGGTGTTCTGGCAGGTTAACCAGCGGGTAGTGTTTGTGCTCAGGCTCGTCTCCCTTCTGCGCTTCAGGCAGGATTTAACGGTGGGAACCTCAGCAACTTCTTCAGCCTCCCGGGGTCCAGAACCCCCGACATTGTGAACATCCAGGAGACCACGAACGTCAACGTTCCCGGCCGCTGGGCGTTCAAAGTGGACGGGAAAGAGATTGACCCGGCCAATGGCTGCACCTCCAGAGGTAAGGCTGTTCCTGTCTCTATGGCAACGCAGTTTGTGGAGTTTAGATGGACAGGCAGGCGTTTTGGCCTGAGGGCAGACACTTTGATGCCAGCCCCCTTTGACACCTCTCAGCGGGCGATGGGTCAGGGTGATGCGAGCACACAGGCTCCTTAGACCGAGAGGCCTCCTGCATCCGACACTGCGGTTTGTGAGGGGTTGCCTGGGGGGTGAGCACAGCTCGCTGCTCAGAACAGCCACAACGTGGATGAGGGTCTTGAGTGAGGTCCCAGCCAGAGGGACAGGAGGGAGCCCTGGTTAACATCAGCCACGCCGTGGTCCTTCCCCTTTCACCGTTCCTCCGCCGGCTCCTGCCTGGCCCCTGCGCCGGACCGGGCGTGCGGACCTGGAACACATGCTAGACAGAAGGAAGCCGGCTGCACACGGGGCGCAAGCTGTGGGCGCTCCTCGCGGGCCCCTTACAGTCAGGCCGGACACCTCCCTCGGCGTGCAGAGCGGCCAGGGCTCAGGAACACCCGGCTGCAGACTCCTGCTTCGTGTGTGTCTAAGAGTCTTCTGGAAACAGGGTTTCTGTTCACACTTCTGCTCGGAGGAGTGGAGGCGATAGCAACTAGAACTAGTAAACATCCACCCTCCCATGCACTCAGCCATCCAGCCATTGCATCTCTCCAGAACATTCCGAGAGGCCAGGGAGGTGCTGGCCGCCCTGCAGGCAGAGGTGCCGGAGCCCTTGCCTCCCACTCCACCACGGGGGTTCCCCTGGAACACGGGTGACGGGCTGAAGATGTATTTGCACAGACACAGGCCGGCACTGGGTGGCAGAGGGTGTGGGGAGGTCAGATCCATGCAAGGCCTTGGGCCGGGAGGAAGGTTTCAGGAGCTCCTGCCTCCTGGTGACCGCGTGTCTCGGCAGCCCCAGGAGACAGCGGGCTGCTCTCCTGGCCCAGCGCCAGGTTGTTTAATACCCAGGAAAGCCCATCCGCCTGCCTGAAGCCCGCACTCTGCCAGTCCCCGCGGGGGTCAGGCGTGTCAGGACTGCGAAGTCCTCAGGTTGAGACAGCGGATGAGTGTGTCAGAGCACAGCTGGGCGGAGCCAGACGGACACCCTGGCTCCTGGGCACACAGGGCTCCGGCTGTGCTCCTGCCCTCAGAGTGGACTGCAGCTTCGCTCACGGTCTGGAAAAGACCAAACCAGCACCCACTGGGCTCTCCCCTCCACGGCCTGGGCTGGTGGCCACAGCACCTCCCGCCCTCCGTCCACTCCTTACAGAGCCGACTGGCGCGGCTGTGTGACCTCGGTGGTGGCGACAGCCACGGGCTGTGGTGACGGGACACACAGGCCAGCTGCACGCAGACCCCACTTGGACCTCACTCCTTCCCCTGTTACGGTTTGGGCTTTGTATCCAGGACGAATGCTACACCCTATGCCGATGCTGTGCATCTTTATGTGCCGCTGGGCATGCATCAGTCTGTGAGCCTGGGGTTGCCCTGCGTGAGGAGGGAAGTGTGATGTGGAGCTGGGTTATTATGTCATCATTTTGCAAAGAAAATGATCTCAGCGATTCTACCTTTTGGCCCAAATGTCCTCTATTCCAAGGCATTTGTCTCCCCCCTGCCCCCGCCCCCCGCCCTTTGGAAGCCTGACAAGGCGGGCACTGGCAGCTACTCCGCGTGGAGGCTGCTGTTGGGACCAGTGCCCAGGCTGTGAGGTGAAGGGGCCTTTTCAGCTGATGCATGTGACCTGCTGGGAGGTGGGCCCATCTGTTACCCCGTCGGGCCTCTGCTCAGCAGGTATCAGCATCATCGCCTGCTGAGACGGAGCTGCTCCTGCCGGACGGAGACGGGAGGGCTGCTGGCACCATGCCTTCTGCTCGGTTAACCTGTATAGTAGTCAGTTTTATAAAAACTTGAGAAATATTTTTAAACTACAATTTCAAACTATGCTTACTCTTGGTCTACGGCGTTATTTATCTTTCCTGTCAGACATTCTCAGTTTACAAATGCCCCTCCTCCGTCCGTGTGTGCCAGGTTTTTATAGTCTCACGGGTCCCATGAGGCAGGGAGAGGAAACAGTGCTGTTCCCATATCGCAGGTTGGAAAGCTGAGGCAGGTGGGCGTTAAGGCCGGAGTCAGAGAGGTTGCCCAGTTCTCTTGACTCTGCCCCCAACCAAAGACTCTCAGCCCTCAGCCCTAAGGTGCTCCTATTTCAATTGAAAGTTGATATTAACAACTGGCAAATTTCAAAAATTTGATTGGGGAGATAATTTCTTTAGGAAAGTGGTTTTAAAGACTGATTGTCTACCAAATAAATAGTAGTGAATACTTTAAAGATTAGCCCGGCCAGTGTGGCTCAGTGGTTGAGTGTCCACCTATGAACAAGGAGGTCACAGTTTGATTCCCAGTCAGGACACATGTCCGGGTTGCAGGCTCGATCCCCAGTGTGGAGTGTGCAGGAGGCAGCCAGTCAATGATTCTCTCATCATTGATATTTCTATCTTTCTCCCTCTCACTTCCTCTCCGAAGTCAATAAAAATATATTTTTTAAAAAAATAACACATCCTTTGAAACCATTCTGCTCCCCCACTTCAGACTCCTCCTGACCTAGATCCTGTGGACAAGTTCTGTCCACGATTCCGTCGGTGATAGAGGCCGAAACAGGCGGGGAAGCATGGGACTAGCAGGGCCTGGAGTGAGAGAGGACCACGTTTGTAGTTGTAAGCTAGTGTCTGCAAGATTTATGAGCCTTGGAAGGTGCCAAGCCAGAGGTCAGCCCTTTCTAGAATCTCCTCAGGAAGACGGATTTACGTGTGTGCATTGACTCCTGGTGCTGTTGACCTTTTCTGGCACATTCTGGGCCCCACAGATGGCTGAGGGAGCCAGCGAGCAGGGTTGCTGTCCCTGGTGAGCCGGCCTTCCGTGGAGAGGAAGGCCCACTCCCGTGAGCCAGCCTTTCCTGTGGACTCAGACAGGGTGCCTTTCCTCGAATGAGGCTTGCGCACCAGCGCGGAAAGGGTCACGCCAAGAGCTTCGGCTGGATACGGACAGACTCGCGTGGACCCTGGCTTCCCCACTGAGTTGCTGAGTGATCTTGGAAAAGTGACTTAGTTTCTCTTAAGCCTCACCCCTCACTTGTCAGGGGAGGGCAACAACACTTACCCCTAAGGTGCTGTGGTGGCGTAGAGGGTGTCACACCGTCCAGCGCTGGGCCCAGGCCTGCGCCGATGGAGAGCCCTCGGCCAACGCGCTCTCTGTCGTTGTGGCAGGGCAGTTCCTGCGGCGAGGGGAGGTGTTCTGGGAGGACCTGAACTGCACCATCAAGTGCCGCTGCCTGGACTTCAACAATGAGATCTACTGCCAGGAGGCCGCTTGCAGCCCCTATGAGGTGTGCGAGCCCAAAGGCAAGTTCTCCTCCTGCAGCCCCGTGGAGACCGGCACCTGTGTGGTGTTCGGGGAGCCGCACTACCGCACCTTCGACGGCTTCGTCTTCCATTTCCAGGGCTCCTGCGCCTACCTGCTGGCCCGGCACTGCGTGCGGGCGGCCCACCTCCCCTTCTTCAGCGTGGAGGCCAAGAACGAGCGCCGGGCCGGCAAGGCCGTCTCCACGCTGAGGGAGCTCTCCGTGGAGGTGAACGGCTACAAGATCCTCATCCCCAAAGGGAGCTACGGGAAAGTCAAGGTGAGACACCGCCACCGGCGCAGGGCGGGCGCGGGCTCCCTGGGAAACTCTCCCAGGCCTGCTGCTCTGCTGGGGGCTGCGGGTACCGCAGGGTGCACGGCTCTCCCCGCCTCACAAAGAGCTTGTAAAATTCTTGACTGAGTTACATGTTGTGAGGGAGCTGCCCTGGCTCCCTCGTTAACACAGTGTCTGTCTGCTGTGCGTCTTAAAGTGCATTTATAGTCCTGTTTCTCGCTAAACGCCGGGGCGTGCGCGTGTGCGCGTGCACGCGCACACACACACACACACACACACACACACACATGCAAGCGCAGGAGTAACTGGGGAGAGAGTAAGTTTAGTTTCTCATGGACCTGGTTGAAAAGTGGTAGCCACGTGGCCACGCTGTGGAGATGGTGTGAACACAGTCACACCCACCACCCAGTGCAGGCTTTGATTGACAGTCCCCACCACCCATCCCGTTGCTGCATCCACAGAGAAACCTCCAAGCAGATGGTTGTCTCAGAGGCGCCCTGCGAGGCGCCGGGAGGGCTGTGGCCTCCGCAGTCAGCCCGGCAGGGAGAGCCCAGTTCCGCTGCCCAGACGGCAGAGCCCCCCCCCCCCCCCCCACTCCCGCCTGAAGCCAGAGGCCCTGCTCTGCTGGCCTGTTTGGTAAATGCAATGGCCTTGCCGCTGTCCCGGGTGCAGGCAGGTGCAGTGACGCAGGAGGCTGCGCGAGAGGCCACAGCAGCTCCTCAACGTGTGGGGGCCCCAGCTTTCATGTTTGTTCATGAAGACTCATCGAAACCAGATATTTATTCAAGTAACAATAACCAAGACCCCGAGGGGTTGATGGCTGAAATCGCGTGCAGTCCTTAATCCCCCACCGGGGAGGTCATCACAGAGGTCACCGAGCAGACCTGACGCCAATGCTGGGATTTCTTTCTTTAAAAAAAAGTGTTGTGGTTCAAATGGATGCAACATGTTCAACGAGAGGCAGGATGGAGGAGCGCATGCTGCTTCCTGGCCTGCCTTCCTGGGCCCACGGAGCCAGCAGGTCCCCGTCGGAAGGGCGCTCTCACCAGGGCTGCTGCTGGGCTAGGCTCCCTGGGGCAGTCTGTCTTTTCGAGCAAAGGGAGGAGTCAGGCGGCGGGGTGAGAGTCCCCTGGGAGTTCACACCGTGTTGCCCGGCCCTGTGGGCCCTGCGAGTGTCCTCGGAGATGGAGGCTCGCATTTTCCAGCTGGAACGGGCTCAGTAGCGCCCCCTACTGCTGCATTCCGGGGTGAGGGGCATAACATCTGCAGCAAAAAGGAGCTTCATGCTTTCCCACTCTCCTTTCTGAAGGAGATTCTTTCTTGCTCACAGTCAGACTTTTTTTTAAGAAGGAAAGGGCCAGCAGCTCTGCTGACTGCACGGCTCTTTCCTATCGTCCGGGTGTCGGGCAGATTCCTAATGTCCTGTAGCAATGGGAGGCGTGGATGTGAATGTAAATGTTTTAGAAAGAAAAGGTTATGTGACTCCAACTGCAAGCTAACAATGGCTTCCTTTTCCTCTTGCCAAATGGCTTCCAAGTTTCTCTGAATAAACCTGCTCTTCGGGGGCGGCTGCTGGGTGGATGGCAGAGCGCCCACCCGGGTGAGGTGGGGACAGGCAGGGAGAGGGGCAGGAAGCAGGGAGAGTCCCATCCGCCTGTGAGACAGCGGACTTCTTCAGACACGGGGGCCAGGCTGGGGCGGCCTCCTCTCTCCTCAGAGGGAGGGCCTGCATCTGTCTATGGATTTCCCCCTTTGAACTGTTCTCAAGTAGCAAAATAAACAAGGTCGGCTTCTATGTGCCAGTGGGGACCAAAGGGAGCCAGCCGGAGGCCCACAGAATAAACACCGCCTTCCAGCTAACCCTCCTCGGTTTCCCGCCCCCCCCCCCACACCCCCACCCAGGTGCACCCGAGGGCTCAGGCTCTGGGAGAAGCCGAGGCCAGTTAGCATCTGGTGGAGAGGATCTGGGCCGGGTCAGAGCTGCTCAGCACCTGTGCCACGACGGCCACTGAGTGGCCTTTTTGAGCTTAATTTTCTCTTTTGGTAAAATGGGTGAAACTGTCGAGGAGGCAGGACTCTGGGGCTGGAGGGTGGATGTGGCTCCTGTGCTGAGCCCTGGGGGGAGGGAGCAGGAGAGCAGAGCTGTGAGCAGCGGCCGAGAGCCTGTCCTCTCCCTGTCCCTTGAGCCCTGGACCTTACTCTCCTCACCTGCAAAAGAGGGAGGTGAGTGGAACCTTCGGAGGCTGTCATGAGGACGAACTAGAACGGCCACACCTGCGATTTCTCGTACAGAGCTTGGCACGCTGTGGCTGCTCAGTATTTGCTCGTTCCCACGTTGACATCGCCACCCAAGTCTCTTTCCATTCTAAGCCCTACGCTTGGACTTCTCTCCTAACCATGTCTCGGCCCACATGCTGGGAGAGACACCCCCAAACAGGGAAATGGCTAGAATACTGGGAGAAGACTAGAGGCACAGAGGGGAGATTGACCAACCACTGGTTAACTGAGAGTTGAGGGCTCTGGGATATGTAGATGGAGGAATGAAATGCGATCCACCATCCATGGGGGTAGGGGTGGGGGGTGGGGAGAGTTCTCTGGGAGTGCTGCTCCCAGCACTGTGAGCTACAGACACAGAGACTTGTATGAGAGAACGGGGTGCATGAGCACTGATGCCAGGAAAAAGCTGTCAGCTGGCGATCCCAGCGCCTGTGGTGGGCCTGGGACAGAGTCGGCCTGCGTGGGGCAAGACCCAACGCAGAGAAGCTGGGGGACTGTGGCAGGACCCAGAGACTCTACCCGTGGTGCTGCTCCGGGGAGGCAGACCCTACCCTCTGTTAGCAGACGCTTCTGTGAGAGAAGAGCATTAGTAAGGGACATGCAGCTGACCCTTTCCTAGTGGAGTCTTTATGGGTTTTGGAATTAGGGTGATGCTGGCCTCGTAAAGAGAGCTTGGAAGTCTTCCCGCCCCGTGATTTTTTGGGGATACCTTGAGGACGACAGGTGCTAGTTCTTCTTTAAATGTTGGTAACTTGTGAAACCATCTGGTCCAGGACTTTTGTTTGCTGGGATTTTTTTAAAAATTACTACTTCCATTTCATTAGTTAATATCAGTCTACTCAGGTTTCCTAGTTCTTCCTGATTTTGTTTTGGAAGATTGTATTTTTCTAGAAATTTGTTCATTTGGGCCAGTTTATTGGTGTATAGTTGATCATTGTCTTTTCTTACTATTCTTTGTATTTCTGTGATGTCAGTTGTTACTTGGCCTCTTCATTTCTGCTTTTATATATTTGGGTCCTCTCTCTTTGTTTCCTGATGAGTCTGGCAAAAGGTTCATCAAGTTTATCTTTTCAAAGAACCAGCTCTGGTTTCATTCATCTTTTGTATTTTTTTCATGTCTATATTATTTATTTCTGCTCTGCTCTTTGGTATTTCCTTCCTTCTACTTACTGTGGGGTTTTTATAGTTCTTTTAGATGTATGGTGAAATGGCTTTTGCAAGATTTTTCTTGCTTCTTGAGGTAGACCTGAAATGCTATGAACTTTCCTCTCAAAACTGTTTTCACTGTGTCCCATAGATGTTGGGTTGTTGTGTGTTCATTTTCACTTGTTTGCTGGTCATTTTTTATTTCTTCTTTGATTTCACTGGCAACCATTGAGCATGCTATTAGCTTCCATGTGTTTGAATGTTTTTGAGGTGTTTTTTTTATTGTAGCTGATTTCTAGTTTCATGCCGTTGTGATCTGAGAAGATGCTGCATATGATTCCAATCTTCTTAAATTTGGTTAGACTTATATTGTGTCCTAACATGAGGTCTGTCTTTGACGACGCTCCATGTGCTCTTGAGAAGAATGTATATTCTGTTGCTGTGGGATAAAATGTTCTGGAAAGATCAATTAAATCCATCTGATCCATTGTGTCCTTTAAAGTTGCTGTTTCCTTGTTGATTTTTTTGTCTCAAAGACTTACCAGTGATGTCAGCAATGTGTTAAAGTCCTCCACTGTGGCTATGTTGCTGTCAATCTCTCCCTTTAAGTACTTCAAGAGTTTTAAAAATATATATTTTTTAGGTGCTTCTATATTGGGTACATATGTGTTTACCTAAGTTACATTCTGTTGTTGGATCCATCCCTTTAGTATTATGTAGTGACCTTCTTTGTCTTTTGCTATGCCCTTTGTTTTGAACTCTGTTTTCTCAGATATACTAGTAAGTATTGCTACCCCTGCTTTTTTTTTCATTTCCAAATGCATGGAAAATTTTTCCCATCACTTCACTTTCATCCTGTGTGAGTCTTTTGTTATGAAGTGAGTCTCTTGTAGATAGCATATATATGGGTCATGTTTTGTTATACACACTGCTATGGATTGTTTTGTTATCCACACTGCTATATGTTTTGATTGGATCACTTAATCCATTTACATTTTAGCTTATTATCCATGAGGACTTATTTATTATCATAATTTCTTTATACCTATATTCCTCTCTAATCGTATTTCTTCTTCTTCTTAAATAGTGACTTTAACTTTTCTCACAATGCTAGTTTGGTAGTAATGTACTCCTTTAGCCTTTTTTCTTTTTTGGGGGGGTCTGGGAAGCTCTTTATTTCTTCTTCAGCTTTTAATGATAGCCTTGCTGGATAGAGTAGTCTTGGATTCAAGTCCTTGCTTTTCATTACTCTGAGTACTTCATACCAATCTCTTCTGTCCTGAAGTGTTTCTGCTGAGAAATCATCTGACAGTCTTATGGGAGCTCCCTTATAGGTAACTGACTGTTTCTCTCTTGCTGCCTTTATGATTTTCTCTCTCTTTAATCTTTGCCATTTCAATTATGATGTGTCTTGGTGTATGTGTCTTGGGTTCATCTCTTTTGGTTACCTGTACCTCTTGAACTGGTATGAATTTTTCCTTCACCAGGTTAGGGAAGTTTTCTGCCATTTCTTTTAACAGGTTCTCTACCCCTTACTCCTGTTTTTCTCCTTCTGATACTCCTATGATGTGAATGTTGTTACATTTCATGTTGTCCCAAAGTTCCCTTTTAACCTATCCTCATTCTTTTTAAATCTTTTTTCTTTTGCTGCTCTGGTTTGGTGTTTTCTTCTCTCTTGTTTTGTTCCAAATCACTGATTCAGTCCTCTGCTTCATCCAGCCTATTCTTTATTCTTTCTAGTGTATTCTTTATTTCAAATATTGTATTCTTCATTTCTGACTGGTTGTTTTCCATGATTTCTATGTCCTTTTTCATGCTGTTGAAATTCTTACTAAGTTCTTTCAACATCCTTATAACCATTTTTTTTTAAATCTGTGTCTGGCAAATTGCTTACCTCTATTTCATTTAGTTTTTTTTTCTTTTTTTCTTTTTTGAGATTTATCCTGCCTTTCCTTTTTGACATGTTTCTTTGTTTCCCTGCTTTGGCTGCCTCTCTGTGTGTTTTTCTTACGGTGTACGAGGTAGATCTGCTATCTCTCCCTCTCTTGATAGTGTGGCCTTATGTAGTAGATGTCTTATGGGACCCAACGGTGCAGTCCCCTTGATCATCTAAGCCTGGTGCTCTAGAAACGCCTCTTGTGTGAGTTATGTGAGCCCTCATGTTGTTATTGAGTCTTGATTTCTATTGGCCTGTTCACATGTGGAGTAAACTTGGGCTGGTTGACTGTGAGGATTGACCCCAACCACAGTGAAGGAGCTGTCGAGCAGGTGCTCACGACAGGAAGCAGAATTCACCTCAGCATGGTCTGATGCCTGTCAAGATCTCCCTTTGGATATCCCACTTATAAAACTAATTGGATTCTACTTTGATGTTGTCTGAAGCTGGCCACTGGCCTTTGGGAGGGACTTTGGTGGTCATGTCAGTCACTGCCTGTGTCTAGTCCTGGAAAACCTGTTTGGAGTTACAAAGCTATTTACACTTTGTGGCTGCCTCTGCTGGGCATTGGTGTGCGTGGGAATGACCAAACTGCACATCTAGGTTGGTTCCACCAGCACTGAGCACGTGGGCAGATCAGCAAAAGTCCCAAACACCGCGAGATCTACCTACACCTGCCTTTGCTTGCCGGCTACCTGTTTGGCTTGGTCTCTGAAAGAACTTCTGGTGAAATTCGAGTTGCATAGTGCAGGTTCTCAGTGAGTCACCAGACAGGGGTGAGAAATGTTCACCAAATTGATACAGTCTCAAGCTCAGTGCCAGTGCTGGGTCTGAGGCCACTCAGCCAAAGTCCCAGGATGCACCAAGTCCAGCTGCTGCCTGCCATGTGCCCACAGACCTTTGTGCTGGGGCAGGGTTTCAGGGAGTCATCAGGGTAATGCCAACAGAGTTTATCAGGCCCAAACAGACCGAGATTTAGCCATGTGAAGGGAGGCTCTGCATGAGTCAGGTGAGGAAAGGAAATATGATGGCCTCCATCCTAGAGTCACTTAGCTCAGTCTGTCCCAGATTCTCCCAGGAGTCCTAGGCTGGTAGGACAGTGCCACCAGGAGGCATGAGGGTGGGGCTAGTGCAGTGGTCGGCAAACCGTGGCTCTCGAGCTACATGCGGCTCTTTGGCCCCTTGAGTGTGGCTCTTCCACAAAATACCACGTGCGGGCATGCATGTACAGTGCGATTGAAACTTCGTGGCCCATGAGCAGAAGTCGGTATTTTGTGGAAGAGCCACACTCAAGGGGCCAAAGAGCCGCATGTGGCTTGCGAGCCGCATTTTGCCGACCACTGGGCTAGTGGATCTTTTCAGAGGGTGAGGTGCAGATGAGGCTTGGGGAAAGGTGGGGGTGGCCCTTGCCCCACAGCCACACAACTCAGTCTGTCTTGGATTTGTACAGACCTCCTGGGCAGCCCATGCTCAGCAGGGTGTGGTGACCAGGAGTCGGGAGGGTGGGGCTAGCAGATCTCCTATGAAAGGCAGGCGCCAGTCAGTTTCACAGGAAAGTGAAGAGAAAGTCCACCACCCAAAGCCACACTGCTCTCTCACTGACACCCCTTGAATATGTCCTGATCTCTACACCTGGGCCCAGGCAACTGACTCCTCAGCAGGGCACACGCTCTGTCGGCTGATGCTGCAAGGAGGGGAGTGCTCCACCCAAGAAAGTTGATGTCTGTGGTGTGGGAGAGGGACTCAGCACTGGGATCTTGGTGGCCGTCCCTTCAGCTCTTTCCCCAGAGCCACAATCCGCAGTCTTTCTTCACAAGACTCTAGTCTGCTTCTCCCTGAGCCAAAGGTAAGTGGCTGCAAATGAGATTTTGTGCACTGGCCCTTTAAAAGGGTGCCTGTGTCTCTAGCAGACTCCCCTCTCTCCCTGGCAGACAGCCCCTGCTGCTTTTCACAGCCAGATGTTATGTGGGTGCCTCATCCCAGCTCTGGGGCTCTGGGCTGGGGAGCTTGGCACCGTGTTGTGACCCACGCTCCTCAGGGGGAACCTTTGTACCTGAGATGCCCCTCGGAATCTCAGCCACTGCCCGTGGGAGCAGGGCCAGCCCTTCATGTGTTGCCACCTTTCCTACTGTCTCGATGTGGCTTCTTCTGTACATCCTTGGTTATGACACTTCTGTTCAGTTGGTTATTTATGATGATTGCTCTAGACTTCAGTTGTAGTTCCAGTTTGGTCCTGGGAGGAAGTGAGTGTAGCTGCCACCTACTCTGCTGCCATCTTTGATCTCTGGACAACTTATTTCTTGAGTATATTTTTCTTGTCTCTTTCCCCCCCTTAAGTATAGAGACAGAGAATTGCACATGATAGTGCCATGGTAACTCTTGGGAGTGATCGTGGACAGTCTGTTGTCTCACCTCCTAGACAATTCAGAAGACCCTTATCCTTGTCTGCCAGAAATCAGCTTGGGAAGCGTACATGCACTTACAGTCAGTTCCACCATGGACTTGCCATTCAACCTCAGCCCACGAATGTGACCTCTTTAGGTTCTAGGCATGTGAAGTGTGAAAGAGAAGACAATTCACTCTCCTGTTGGAGACTTAATCAAGCCACCTGCTCAAGTGAGCCAGACTTTTGGGCCTCACTCTTGATTCTCCCCCCATTTCTCACTCCTCACTACAAAACCCCACCAGCTCCTGCTGAGTGCACCCCATGACTATCCCTCTTTCTCCATGTAATTCCGCCATCACCCCTGGGTTCTAGCAGCAGTTGTCCATCTGGTTGCTCTGCTTCTAATTTTGACATACATCGTTGTGTCCTTCATGCTGGCCAGCATGGACTTTCTGAAATGCAAGTCTGACTATGTCATTTCCTTTTTCTAAACCTTTGTGGACTCTCCTTAAAGAAGAGAAATGCAAGTTTTTTGGGTTTCATTTCTGTGGGATTTTGTTTGGTTTTAAAGCACGGCTTTAAAGGCACTCCAAGGCCTGTTTCCAACACAGAAGCCCAAGCCATTTTCTAAACATGGAAGTCAGATCATGTTGATCCTTTGCTCTAGGCACCCTCTTAACTTCATCTTGCTCAAAGCCGAGGTCTTCACAGTAGCTGAATGGCTCTGCCTGTTCTGGCTGCTCTTCTCTCTTTGGCATTATCGGCCATCGCCTTGCTCTCTCCATTACTGTCACACCGGCCCCTGAGGCCCTGGGAGTCCCTGCACGCTACCCCTCAGGGCCTGGCTGTCCACGCTTCATGAGCCACTTTCACCCCAGATGACAGCATGGTTTGCTTCCTCACCTCAGACGTCCCTTTCCCGGCGAAGTCTTCCCTGATGACCCTATTTGAAATTAGAAACCCTCTTTCCTACTACTTTTGACCCATGTTCCCTGCTTTATTTCCTGCAGAACATTTTTCTGACATACTTACATATTTTTTCCTGTTTATTTTGTTTGTTGTTGGTCTCTTCAACTGAAATATAAGCTCCGCGATGCAAGGATTTCCACTTGTTGGTAACCCCCGGCTCTTAGGACAGGGCTTAGTACCCAGAAAAGGCTGAGTTGGTATGTGCTGAGTGAATGGGCCACGCCCCCGTCTCCAGCTTCATTTCTGTCTACCCCTTCTCTCTGCTGCCCAGTAACGCCCCGATGCCCATCCCACCTGCCTTTATTCTTTTATCCCAGAATTCCCTGCCCCCAGCCTTTCTTTGGCCACTTCTGTTTCTCTTTAAAGACCCAGGTTAGACTTGATTCCAACTGGAAAGCTTTCTATGGCTTCCTCAGGCTGGATTACGAATTCATGTCCTGTTCTCCAATTGCATCACCTATTAACACATACTTCAAACCGTGTATTATAAATACCATCCCTGGCCCTCTTCCCCGGGGGACTGAGCGCTCGGGAGAGGCAGGGGCAATCCTCTTTTTTATTCCTTATTTCTCAACTCCTAACACAGTGCTCACATTTGTTGTTGTTGAATAATCCTGATACCAGGAAATGACAGGGCAAAACAGCTGGAAAATAACACCGGGACAGTCTCGACACTGCGTCATGGGGAGCAGTTTCCAGCACGCCGTCAGCGGGAGGAGGGCCTGGAGTGCTGAGTGCACTAAGGGTGGAATGGAAAATAGTGACTCCAGCTAGGATTTAAAGATTGGATTTAGAGGAATAAAGAGGGAAGATGAGGCAACTAGTTTTTCAAGAAGAGACTTGAAGCTAGCTAGCCCTGGAGCCAGCAGGAAGAGTGACAACCACCTGGACCCCAAGAAGTCCAGAGTGGCACTAGCAATGTGCGTTTGTCACAGCTTCAGGGTCACCCAGTGCTCAGCTGGCCCACACCAGCCTGGCCTCGAGGGTTCCCCAGGCCTGCACCTTCCTAGGAGGCCAGCCCAGAGCCCAGGCAGTGGGGCACCGTGCTCCCTGTGGTGCTGAGTCACCTGCCTTCCCTTCCTGACACTGGCTGGAACCAATGCCCGGCCCTGGCTCACCTGCCTTTTGCTGTCATTGTTGTTGGCAGGTGAATGATCTAGTGACTTCTTTGCCCATCACCTTAGACTTGGGGGCTGTGAAAATCTACCAGAGTGGCATGTCCACTGCCGTGGAAACAGATTTTGGGCTCTTAGTGACGTTTGATGGCCAGCACTACGCCTCCATCTCCATCCCGGGCTCCTACACCAACTCCACCTGCGGGCTCTGTGGGAACTACAACAAGAACCCGCTGGACGACTTCCTCCGCCCGGACGGTAGGCCGGCCATGTCTGTGCTGGATCTGGGAGAGAGCTGGCGGGTCTACCATGCTGAGTGGCTATGCGACTCGGGCTGCGTGGACAACTGCACCCAGTGCGACACGGCCACCGAGGCCCTGTACTTCGGCCCCGACTACTGCGGCTTCCTCAACAAGACAGACGGGCCCCTGTGGGAGTGCGGCACCGTGGTGGACCCCACGGCCTTCGTGCACAGCTGCGTGTATGACCTGTGCAGCGTGAGGGACAACGGGACTCTCCTCTGCCAAGCCATCCAGGCCTATGCCCTCGTGTGCCAAGCCCTCGGCATTCCGATCGGAGACTGGCGCCTCCAGACTGGGTGTGGTAAGCTGACGTCCTATCCCACTAGGAGGACAGGGAGAGGGCTCCTGGGAAACCTCCTTGTTAGGATTGTCCAACAGTGGAGGTGAGGTTGAAATATCACAAATTATAAAGAATGAACTGGCCCTGGCCAGTTTGGCTCAGTGGATAGAGCATCGGCCTGCAGACCAAAGGGTCCCGGGTTTGATTACAGTCAAGGGCACGCACCTCAGTTGCAGGCTTCTCCCCAGCCCAGGCCCTGGTCAGGGCACGTGCAAGAGGAACCAATCGATGTGTTTCTCTCACATCGATGTTTCTCTCTGTCTTTCCCTCTCTCTTCCACTCTCCCTAAAATTCAATGGAAAAATATCCTCAGGTGAGGATTAACAAAACAAAACAAAAGAAAGAACGAAGTGTAAAAGGATCTTTACGTGTACCCCACCTGATACGATAGCCAGAAACTACTGATGAGCCAAAATGGTCTGGGAACATGAAAGGCGTGGCAGGAATGCTTGGCAAGGAAGGCCCTGCAGCAGGGGGCCGTCTCAGAGTCCAGCAGGAGGGGCTTTCAGAAGCGCAGGTGGCTGCTGAGTAAATGCAGACATTGGCCGTGTGGTCAAACCAGCCTTTGGTCAGTGACGCACTTCCCACAGGACCAACAGCCTTTGTCCCCGGCTCGCTCTCCCCCACGTTCAGCCCCTTTAGTTCTGTGTCTCTCGCTCGCTCGCAGCTGACCTGCTGCTGGTGGTGGAGGAGGCGGTGCCAGTGGAAGCAGGCAGGCCAGGGAGAAGCCCTTTTGCTAAAATGCCCGTGTGAGGCTGGGCCCAGCAGCGTGGGGAAGCGGTTTCCTTTGAATTACCCTTTTGGACGAAGCATTTTGTACCATTTAGTTATCTCGTTTTTCTTTCCTTCTGGCCCACTTAAACCCCGCCTCCTTTCCTAGTTATGCAAACTTTTAGAACAAGCAAACAGAGACAAGCCACTCGGAATTTTGTTTCTTTCCTGGTCCTTGGTTTTCTCCATATGAGGAAACAGGAAATTCTAATCCATGCATTTGAGAGTGCTACGGAGGTGAGAAGATTTAAAAATGTAAGTTCCAAGGCCAGAGTGAGATTTTCATTCACTAGTATAGGTTGAATTCACATCCATCACCATGTATCAGATTCATTTCTTTGAGTACCGGTCACACCACTAAGACAGAGTGTACTCCTTTTCCTTAAACTGGCCCGTCTATTATGTCTGGAGCATCCAAGTTCTGATTAAACTTAAATTGAATTTGGCGTTGCTTTGATCCTTTTATAGTCCAAGAACATCCAAACTGCCAACCAAATTCTTGCCTAGAATGACTATTTTGTCCAGTGGTACTACTCTCCACATTTCTCTCTCTCCTCTCTCTCCTTCTCTCCCTCCCTCCCCCTTCCCTCCCTCTCCCTCTCTCTAAGGTCAGCGGGGGATGAATCATATTGAATTAAGGAGCTAGTTTATCAGGCCCTTGAGCCCCTGCCTGTTGGAATCAACCCAATCAAGACGTTTACATAGACTCTGATATCCTTAAAGTGAGAACGGACCATCTCTAAGGCCAGAGGGGCCATCAGATGGCACTGGTCCTACTTGCAGCCCAGACACAAGTCTGTGCAGATCGCCAGGCGCTTCCTTATTCCCCGTGTGCCAGAGGATCCATGGTCCCAGTCTTCTTTGGTCTCTGTTAGGAATTTGATGTTTTCAAATTACTTCTCTAACAGTTACTTTTTTTCATTTCTCCTACAAGTTGAATGTATTTCCTCCTAAGAATGGGCCATGACCTTTAAAATCAGAACAACTTATATGCCCATCAGTTGAAGATCTTAAAATAGCTTAATGGTTGTAGGTCACCAAACAACAAATCTATGTTGAATAATCTACAGTCTGGTTAGGATGGAAACCTGCCGTTTAATTTCGGTCAAGATGGTGGGATGAGAGCCAAAGTCCACAAGTGCGTCCCCAGGCTCCATGGTTACTAAGGAAGCAGCTGAGTTTGTTTCCACAGACACAGCCTCCAGCTTCTCTTCCTACTCGGCCCTCATTCTGGGAGTGAAGTGGGAGGAGTGCTTTTCCTCCAGGCTCTGGTGCATGTGGCTCCTGTGGCCCCTGTGCATGCATGTGGCTCCCAGCTTCATCCCCCAGGTCACTGACCTTGCTGTCCTACTTTCTTCTCTCCCCACACCAGTATCCACGGTGCAGTGCCCCAGCTTCAGCCACTACTCTGTGTGCACCAGCAGCTGCCCGGACACGTGCGCAGACCTCACGGCCTCGCAGACCTGCGCCTCGCCCTGCACAGAGGGCTGTGAGTGCAATGATGGCTTCGTCCTCAGTGCCAGCCAGTGCGTCCCACTGCACGAGTGCGGCTGCGACTTCGACGGCCGCTACTACACTCTGGGGGAGTTCTTCTGGGCCACGGCCAACTGCACAGTGCAGTGCCTGTGCGAGGAGGGCGGCGACGTGTACTGCTTCAACCGGACCTGCCGTGCCGACGAGGTGTGCACCGTGGAGCAGGGCCACCGCGGCTGCTTCCCCCGGCGCGAGACCGTGTGCCTGCTCAGCCAGGACCAGGTGCTGCACACCTTCGATGGCGCCGCCTTCGCCTTCCCCGCCGAGTTCTCCTACACGGTGCTCAGGACCTGCCCCGAGCAGCCCGAGTACTTGGAGATTGACATCAACAAGAAGAAGCCCGACGGAGGGCCTGCCGGGCTGCGAGGCCTCCGGATCCTGGTGGCCAACCAGGAGGTTAAGATCGGAGGGGTCGGGGCCTCGGAAGTCAAGGTAAGACCCCTGCTGCCCGAGGGCTTCCCGGAGTCACAGGCTGAGCGTGTCCTTCGGGTTTGCCTGTTTGCCTCCGACCAGGAGTGGATTCTAGAAAGTCAGTGACTCCAAAAATGCAAACATTGTCTAACTACGGGCACCGAATAAGAGTCCACTAGGTGGAAAATGGAGGGAACCAGACAGATGTAGCAGGACCAGCTCTTCAGAATAGCAAACACTCATAGGACCTGTCTGATACGCCAAGCACTACTCTAACTAGTATCACATTTATTTATTTTAAATATGTTTATTTCAGAGAGGAAGGGAGAAGGGAGAGAGAAAGAGAAACATCAATGATGATAGAGAATCATTAATCAGCTGCCTCCTGTAGGCCCCACACTGGGGATCGAGACTGCAACCCAGACACGTACCATGACAGGAAATCACACTGTGACCTCCTGGTTCACAGGTGGATGCTCAATCACTGAGTCCTGCGGGCCAGGCAGCAGGATCACATTTAATCCTGTCAAGTATATTTTATTATCCTCATTTTACAGATGAGAAAACTGAGGCACAGAGAGGTTTAGTAACTTCCTCAGGGACACACAGCCACAAGAGTCAAGCCCAGGCAGGCCCTGTCCTATACTGACTCTCCTGCCTATAACAGGAATCTATATGGGGTGAGGCAAAGGGTGCCCACCACGGCACCTCTTGCCCCTTGGACCTAGTCTAAAACACCCAGGATTAGGCATCTATACTTACAGATGATTAGTTCTAGGAGGAATTGTAGGAATAATCTAGTGCAGCTCCTCTTTTCTACATAAAGATCCCAACAGGCTACCTCAGAAATGGGGCCTCACAGGTACGTAGTGGTCGAGCTGGAGTGACAGGAGGGGTGGGGGAGCGGCTCCCTCCTCCCAGTCCGACATGCATTTCTTAACATCACATGACGTTTCATTTAGGAAACAGAAGTGGAAGCAACACAGCACAGGACATAAAACACACCCACAGGGACTGTGTTTCATCCCTACTGACACTGCAGGGACTCATTTATTAAAAGAACAGACAGGTGGATGGACAGCAAGATAATGAGACACGTACCACATGCGGGGGCGAGGGGCACAGGCAAAGCCAGGCCCAAAGGGGAAGGGAGGAGCCGGGAGCTGGGGGAAGGGGCTCTGTCTGTGGACAGGTGGCTGGCGGCAGCCGCGCGGGGAGGACACCTTCGCCCATTTCCCTTTGGTTTGGGGCCAGCTGAGCGTCCGTCCCTAAGGACATACACAGCGAATGTGCTGTGTCAGAGGGTCCAGCAACACAGCAACAAAGGCACAACGATCCTCTGTGGGTCCAGCTGCCTGTCTGCGGCTCCTGCAGGGCTGGCTGGTCCCGCCCGGCCTCTGGCCCCTGCGCCGGCACTGACCGCGGGGCCTGCTCTTGCAGGTGAACGGCCAGGAGGTGGAACTGCCTTTCTTCCACCTCTCGGGGAAGCTGGAGGTTCACCGGACCCAGAACAGCACGACGGTGGAGTCCAAGGGCGTGGTGAGCGTGCAGTACTGGGCCTCGGGGCTGCTGTACGTGCGCCTGTCCACCGTCTACTTCAACTGCACCGGCGGCCTGTGCGGCTTCTTCAACGCCAACGCCAGCGACGAGTTCTGCCTCCCCAACGGCAAGTGCACGGACAACCTGGCCGTGTTCCTGGAGAGCTGGACCACCTTCGAGGAAATCTGCAACGGCGAGTGCGGGGACCTGCTCAAGGCCTGCGGCAACGACTCGGAGCTGCTCAAGCTCTACCGCAGCCGCGCGCGCTGCGGCGTCATCAACGACCCGTCCAACAGCTCGTTCCTGGAGTGCCACGGCGTGGTCAACGCCACCGCCTACTACCGCACCTGCCTCTTCCGCCTCTGCCAGAGCGGCGGCAACCTGTCCGAGCTCTGCGACGCCGTGGCCCGCTACGCTGGCGCCTGCAAGAACGCCGACGTGGAGGTGGGGCCCTGGCGCACCTACGACTTCTGCCGTAAGTGAGCTCGGGGGCGCGGGGGCGCGGGGGCGCGGGGCCGCGGGGGCGCGGGGGCGCGGGGGCGCGGGGCCGCGGGGCTGCGGGGCTCTCTTGGGCTCTTTCCTGCCGAGGGAGCTCCAGGCCCATCTGATTCCTGAGCACCTTCCGGAGTCGGAAACCAATGGTTCGACACCTTCAGTTTTGTTCCCAATTGCACAGCAGCTCTTCACTGCGAGCCATTCGCCAACAGATTTTCAGAGAGAGTGGACGAGAGAGGGAAATATTGACGGCATCAATTGGTTGCCTCTTGCACGGACCCCAACCAGGGCATGGACCCCAACCAGGGCCTGGGCCGGGGAGGAGCCTGCAACTGTGGTACGTGCCCTTGATTGGAATCGAACCCGGGACCCTTTGGTCTTCAGGCGGATGCTCGATCCATTGAGCCAAACCGGCCAGGGCACAATTAGCCACCTTTTGGCTGGCGGTTTTATCTAGCAGAGCACACATCATGGCCTAGGACGAGGGCGCTTTGTGGTCATGGTTCGCATGGTGCCTTCTCTCTTGGCAAGGAAGGTCCAGTTGTTGCCATAGCAGGTGGCCAGTCGGGGTGCTTTTTCGGAGTAGAGATCGCGCTGTTCCCTGGGGCACACTTGGCAGTGGCTCCTTGGAGAATCTCACCTTGCTGGTCCCCAGGGTCTCTGACCCTTCTCCGCAGGCAGTGGCAGGAATGGTCTCAGTTAGAACAATTGCTGGGATCACCTGACATCAGACACTCTTGGTTCTGTGGGAGCCACTGGGAGGAGTCACATGGAAAATAGGAGGAGTGCCGGGAGCACCCACCCCTTTCTCACCAAAAAGCTGGGCCCTGAACCAGAACCAACGCCACCGTTAAGATCCCATCCTCTACATTTCTTTATTTCTTTCCGTTTTATTTCTTCCTCCCGAGGCTTGTTTATTTTTAAATATTTTATTTTGAAATAACCTCAATTACAGAAAAGTTGCAAGAATATGTATATACCTTAAACCAGACTAACCTAGTGTTAGTATTTTGCCCCATTTGCTTTTCATTCTCTCTTACTCTCTCTCTCCACTTGAAAATAAGTTGCATGCATCATGCCCTTTTGTCCTAAATAATTTAGTGTTATTTCCTTACAATAATGAACCTCATTTACAGAATCACAGTTAGGAAAGTTAATATTGATGTCATAATTTAACATCCACATTTCCTTTTTAAAAGTGGCGCAGTCGTGTCCTTTATGCTTTTTTATCCCCTCCATGCAGACCTAGTCCAGGACCGACGTCGCGTTTAGTTTTCCTGCCCCTTTCGTTTCCGTCCAGCTGGACGATTCCTTGGCTTTGTTTGCCTTTCCCGACATTGTCGCTTTTAAAGAACACAGCCTCCCCCTTTTACAAGTGGGATGGCCCCCAGCTGGGCTTGGTATTTTCTCATGATGAGGTTCTGTGGTGATCCCCACGCAGACTCCTGCAGCGGGCCTGTGCGTTTTCTCCCAGCATCATCGCCACCAGGGGCGCACTCTATTCCTCTCGTGGGTGATCAGCAGATGGATACCCTGATGTTGTCAAATGTCTCTACTCTGTGGTCATTATGTCTTTTCTCTTGCAAATCATGAGCAATCTGTGAAGAGACACTTGAAGACCATGCAAGTATCCTGCATGTCATCGCACCCTTCACGTTTCAGTGTGTGTCAGCCGGTAGCCATGGTTACGAATGGATGGTTTCCAGCTCCATCCCTCTCTCCTTCTCTTTGTGTGCCCTTCATCCATCCATCCGTCTACTTGTCTCAGGCATCTGTCTCTCTTATCAATATAGATACACAGATCTCTGATTCTCTTAATAATTCATATCTTATATTACATCTATCAATAACTTTACTGTTAAAGCTGTTCCAGTCTCGGCCTGTGGAAGCCCCTTCATGTTGCCACCGATGTCCTTGGGGCATGCCTCATTCATTTCCTTACTTTCTGCATAAAAAATATTTCACACTCATCTCTTAACCTCCCCAGTCCTAGACTAGAATCTACCATTAGTCCAAGAAGCCCGGTTCCTTTTGGTGGGGAATGTATTAGAAAACAAGATCTGGGTGAAGCTTACCCATTGCTATTGGAGTATTCTTGCTTTATCTCCAAGCCTTTCAACAGAGGTATCTTAGAACTAAGAACTAACACACACGCGCGCACACACGCACACGCATGCACGCACACGCATGCACCTCTATTTAAACCTCTGGTTTCTGAGCTTTGGAAGTTGGAGGTGCACAGGGAGTGCTTGGTGGCTGGGGTCTCAGGAAAGGGCGATGTAAACCTGGCGCGCCTTACCGCACTTGGGAGGAGTTGGTAGCAGATGCTGTGAGTCCTGAAGCTGGAATTTGGGGCGCGTGCTCTTTCCATAAAGCCACTCACAGGGAGAAGGGTTCCAAGGTTTCCACTGACCAGCACATCTCGTCAAACCTTCTAATACGCCCCAAAGCCTTCCTTTTAACCCACTTCCTCCTACTCCTCTGTGCTGTCTCCAGTTTATCTAAGACACTCTCTGTTCTTGCTCCAGTCCGCACGGCAAGGACTTGCTGATCTGCCCCAGGCCAAGGACACCTTGCTGCCAGGCTATGTCTGTGCCATCTGTTAGATGGGAGCTCCCACCCAGAGGGAGTGCTCCTGGGCTGTGGGTGCTGACGGGACAGCCTGGTGGCACTGTGTGTGAAGTGAGTGCAGCCAGAGGGTGAGGGGTTCTCTTTTCCCAGACGTGATGGCTACTCACCACCCCTAGCTGGGCCTGCAGCGCTGGAGGAAGCTCTGGGAAGCACCTCTTATAGAGAGAGACGTTGGACAGAAGCCTGGTTTCTTGGGGCGAAAGGCCATGATTCAAATGAGAGATGTCCTCTAGGATGTCTCGTCCAGACCTGGGGGACATGGGTCTGGTCGGGAGAACTGGAATGTGTGCCCTGGATGAAGCACATCCCTGGGTACTGAGGGGTTCACCTGGCGGGGTCTTGCAGAATGGGGGTTAGGTCTCCCTTGGATTTAGAGAGACAACCCCTGCTCAGTGCTTAGATACTTCGACCAGCCCTCTTGTTGAAACAACTCCCAGAGGCATTTCAGGGCCAGGGGATGTTTATTGCTTACGTCGGTCTGTCCCGGGCTTTCAGACAGATCCAGACAACAAGGTAAGTCATGAAACGTGAGCCATATAGATGTCATGTGATTTGCTGTCACCATAAACCTGTAGTCAGTGTTATAACATTCCTAAGTTAGAGACAAATGTGAAGATCCCTCCTACAGACATATTTAATCAGTGATGAGCCAGATGTCAGCTCCTCCACTGTGTGGAGGTGTGGTCAGGGTGTGCAGGAGGCCTTCAGCCCAGGAAAGAAGATGATTCTGTCAGCACTTAGTGTGGGGCTGCTGAGCTGGTACTGTGGGCAGAGCTCTCATTGCCATCAAGTTAATTCTCAGTATTCCCCTTCATGTCCCTGGGTTCTGAGACACTATGAAGGAGTAATCGTGTGCACAAGAGCTCAAAAAAAGTTTCAAAGGCAAGATCTTACTCTCCCAGGAGGCAGTGGGGACTTTTCACAGGTTGTTAGAGTACACGGACTGTAGGTAGATTTCTTCTGTGCTCCTGGATTTGTCTCTTCCCAAGTCAAATTTTAACAAACTAAAATAATACAGAGAATGGGAAGGTTACCTGAAACTTCATGATGAGCAGCGTGTGCCGCATTATTTACTAGAGGCCTGATGCATGAAAATTCATGCAAGAGTAGGCTTTCCTTTCCCCTGCTGCCGGTACCGGCTTCCCTCTGGCACCCGGGACCCAGGCTTCCCTCCTCTGGCTGCCTGCAGGCACCTGGGACTAGGGCTGCTTCCCTCCTCCAGATGCCTGCAGGTATCCGGGACCCAGGCTGGCTACCCTCCGGCCCCAGCTTTATCAGGAAGGATGGCCAGAATGACGTCCGGAGGACGTCCAGTCTAATTAGTATATTACCCTTTTTTTATTATAGACTAGAGGTCCAGTGCATGAAACTTGTGCACTGGTGGGGCGGGGGGGGGAGGTGTCCCTCAGCCCAGCCTGCACCCTATCCAATCTGGGACCCCTTGGGGGATGTCTGACTGCCGGATGTCCAATTGGGTTAAACCGGCAGTTGGACATCCCTCTCATAATCTGAGACTGTTGGCTCCCAACCGCTCGCCTGCCTGCCTGCCTGATTACTCCTAACCGCTTCTGCCTGCCAGCCTGATCACCCCTTAACCACTCCTCTGCTGGACTGATTGACACCTAACTGCTCCACTGCCAGCCTGGTCACCCCAACTGCCCTCTCCTGCAGGCCTGGTCGCTGACAACTGCCCTCCCCTGCAGGCCTGGTCACCCCTAACTGCCCTCCCCTGCAGGCCTGGTCCCCACAACTGCCCTCCCCTGCAGGCCTGGTCACCCCTACTTGCCCTCCCCTGCAGGCCTGGTCCCCCCCCAACTGCCCTCCCCTGCTGGCCTGATTGCCCACAACTGCCCTCCCCTGCCGGCCATCTTGTGGTGGCCATCTTGTGCCCACATGGGGGTGGCCATCTTGTGTGAGGGTGTGATGGTCAATTTGCATATTACATCTTTATTATATAGGATGTGCTGAGTTCTGTGACTCAGAGACTTGATCTATTACAGACACTTCTAAGCAGAAGTGCAGGAAGAAATAAAACGTGGAGAATGGGTAGGATTCAGCTTTGTGAAGGCTTTCCGGGG